CTCTCTCTCTCTCTCTCTCTCTCTCTCTCTCTCTCTCTCTCTCTCTCTCTCTCTCTCTCTCTCTCTCTCTCTCTCGCTCGCTCGCTCGCTCGCTCACTCGCTCACTCGCTTGCTGTGCCTGTCTGGGACATCCTGGGAAGCATTCCTCCTCGGACTCCGCTTGTGCTGGAGTGTACTTGGACTGCGGTGGAGAAATGTACCTGGACATCCACCTCCTCCATGATGGACCCAGAGTTTCGTCAGAAGCTCTGTCGCTCTTTTGGTGTCCGAAGACAGCACTGAACTTGTTCTGAAGTTGTGAGCAGGTACATTATCTCCTCACTTGGAAATGAACTGAGGCCGGCATGCCAAGCGGAGTCTGCTGGGTGTGATGGACAACCGAGCTACTGTAGGTTAACAACGCTCTTCCAGAGGGCACAACGTCCAGCAGGCAATGAATGAACCCCGTGTGTGTGACCAAGTTCAGAAAACAGATCCTCATATCTCCACCCCTTTGGCTTGCCATCTCTTATTTTGAAAGACATGTTACTTGCAAGGATTGTGATGTACACCAGTCTTTCATGAACTGCTTGATGTCTGCATTGCGGATGGACGCCTCCGCCAGCGCAACAAGAACCGTCGAGGAGAGTTCTATCGCGACTTTCACTGACACTGTGTTCCGACCAGACGCCATTTGCAGTCAACAACCGGAGAGAGAGAGAGAGAGAGAGAGAGAAGACAAAGAAGAGAGAGGGGGGGATAGGCAGAGATGAAAAGGAGAGAGAGTGGATTAAGAGAAAGATGAGGAGAAGGAGAAGATGCAGTGGGAAAGGATGTCGGGGAAGAACAAAACACACGAAGACAATCGAATCCACAGACATGCCAGCAGCCACAGGCCCACAATGATGGACGGGTACACAGTCACAGACACAACACGATGCGGGGTGAGTTATGGATCTGATTGAATAGCAACAGAATCAGGATTGTTTTTTCTATTTTTTCTATTTTTAGAATTATACAAGGGACAACAACAGTGTGAACGGGTTTGTGCAGGGGCTGAAACGCCACCAAGGGGGGCAGTGGGGGTTGCTTGCCATGGGGCAGTGTCGTGGGGGGTCGGGAAGGGGTGCGGGCACCCCCCGCATCCCTGGTTTTTAAGAGAAAATTGG